TATTCTGAGCTCTCTGAGTGAGCTCTAATAGGCATCGAGAGCTCCGTTTCTCTAGAAGAGGGAGAAGAGGAAGAAGGATGTTCTGGGAAGCGATGAAAATCTGGTCATTAGCTGTTTCTGGAGAGCAGTGGACCTCGCTTTAAAGATAGAGCTGAAAATGAAACAAAATAAAAATTGAGGGCAGGAGAAAACCAAGGGTGGGGGGCTGCCGGCCCAAATGATGCCCCACCCCCAAGTCTTTGATAGAATCATATTTCATCTACTGTGCTGGACTTGGGGTCAGGTAGACCAGGGTTCAAATCCCTAGACTATAAGCTTTTTGAGGGTCGTCATTCTATCTCTTCTGTCTTTGCTACCTCGACAGTGGTCCAGACATATAAAATCTTATTGATTAAATGATTACTATCTTCATGACCTTGGGTACATCACCTTACCTCTCAAAAACTTTGTTTCCTCATCCAGAAAATGGGGATATTAATACCTGTGTTAAATGCCATAGACTTATGAGGTGCAATGAGTTTATGCACTATATAAATGTCAGTTATTGTTATTTGATGAATACCTCAACCGTCACATAGCTTTCTGTTTTAGAGGGGCTTAATTGGGTCTTGGTAATGCATTCCAATCTTAACCTCCACAGACCCTTCTCCTGACACCCAGGTTCCCCAGATATAGACAAGACTTTCCATTGGAAAAGATAAGGCTTTAGGCAGGAAGTAGAGTGTGTCTCTGGGTAAAGCTTACTTGATCTCAACTCATTTTCTAAGAGTTCCTCTGCCTAGGATAGATGCAAACAGTTGATTTTGGAGTCCAGAGATTTGGTTTTGAGCCCCAGCTCCTGCTGTAGCTGTGTGTTTGAATCAGTCACTTACTCATTCTGAATTTCATTATCTAAGAGATCAATCAGAGATCTAGCAGGATGTCCAAGGTCTTCTAGCTCAACACCTTCACTTTACAGATAAGGAAGCTGAGGCGTAAGTAGGTGAATCGACTTATCCAACATCATAAAAGTATAAAAGGTGGGATTTGAACATAGGTCCTATGATTCTAGTTCCAGGGCTCTTCAGTTATCTTGTCAAATGTGCAACTCAACTATCTATCCCCCTTAGGGTTGTTGTGAGGATAGGACACTGCAAACTTTATAAGTATTGGGGTGGGGTGGAGTATTATATTGTTGACATCTCTTCCATCTCAAAACATTCTAGGTTCCTAAGGTTGGTTCTGGGGTGTATGCCAGTCTACCCACAAAGATCAAAGATCAGTCCAGTGAATGCAATGAGAGGGGAAAGCTTTCTTTCTTGAGCCTGAGTTTGAGCTTGAGGCAGGTGAGATTATTAGAATGGGAACTGTGTTTGCCCCAAGGACAGCCTGCACCCTTATCCATTGGCTCTAATATGTTTCTTCTATGGTGGGCCTCTATGCCATTCCTTGGATTGAACTTGAGACAGCTCCCCTATGGAACCCAAGAGTATGGCCAAAGGAAATATCTTCAATGTCATTGCCCCCCCCACCCCCAACAACTCCATGTTGTTCTCTGATATTGGATTCCCTGGCTGAGACAGTAGTTGTTCTTTTATTCTCTTCCCCCACCCAAGCCACTTTCACTGGAGCATTTAAGCCACAGTGTGATGGTTAGTAGGCATCCCTCTCAGAACAGGAATAAAAAAAATTGTTTTCAAGTTGTAATTTTATATTGGTTAATCAACCAGTTTATAAGTCACAACCCCCCCCCCCCATACATACACCACCCCTTCCAAAAGAAAATGGGAGTGGAGAAAAAATGCACTAGTCCCTGTGTCTACGTTTTGCATCTCTCTGCTAGCCCAATGCAGCTTTAAAAAGTCCTCGGGCACCCAGTAGAAGCCTCTGATTTATGGGGTTTACTAATGCTGGCTGAATACTGCTTGTCAGGGCGCCATGAATGCCTCTCCCTCCTGATACAAGAAAAGGCTTTGTGTTGCTAAGCGATTAGAGCAGATGTAATGAGATTTACCCCAATCCTGGTTTGCCCTTTCCTATCTTCGGCAAAATTGTGTGTGTGTGTGTGTGTGTGTGTGTGTGTGTGTGTATTTTTGTGAATTTCCCGAGTTTGCCTTACACATTGTGGCCAACCACGGCGTAACTTTCCCTGGACTTTAATGAGCGCTGAATATTTACCATTCAGAAGTGAGCAAAAGAACACCTGTCTACACAAGGAAAGGAAAATTTCCCTTTGTACACAGTGAAACACTATCCTAATGTTATATTCATAGCCATAAATTACTAGCTACACTTTCTTTTGCATACCTTATCTGTAAACTTGTTAAGGAGTTGGGGGAGGGGGGCTTGAAGAGAAAGAGGGAGGTGAGAGGAGAAAAGAGGAAAAGAAGGAGAGGGGAGAAGGGAGAGGAGAGGAGAGGAAAGGAGAGAAGAGGAGAGGAGAGGAGAGGAGAGGAGAGGAGAGGAGAGGAGAGGAGAGGAGAGGAGAGGAGAGGAGAGGAGAGGAGAGGAGAGGAGAGGAGAGGAGAGGAGAGGAGAGGAGAGGAGAGGAGAGGAGAGGAGTGGAGAGATTCATTTTCCCAAAAGTAAAGGATGAACAAGAAGAAAACATTATAGTGTCATTATTTTCATCAATAATCTTGAAACTGGCCCAGGGCTTTCACAGATTATGGTTATTTATGAAGATGGGGAATTGCCTGGTTCTCCCCCCCCCAATTTTAATCACGTTGATCATTTGTTTCTGAAAGGCCTGAGTGCACCCTAAAGCAGAGCACTTGTGTAGAATGCCAAGAAACTTTGGAGTGCTCATTGCCTGGCGGCCTAAAATATCTGTATATCTATGTGTGTAGCATTATTGGTGCGAATCAACGATAGAGCTGGATGCACAAACACAGGGAAGATTTTTTTTCCTTTTTAACTCTGTAAGACACGCTGGCTCTGCGCTCTTTGTTGGGTTTTGTAAGATGCATTTTGCGTTCTCCTTTCCGCTTGGCTTCATGCACGCAAACTGAATTTGCAAGTAATGCAGAAGGCAAGCAAGTAGCCAGGCGAAAACAGGCTTGGATTCCGGTCACGTCCCTGCTAACTGACAACAAGCAGACTAGCCAAAAAGAAAAGAAAAAAGAAAGAAAGAAAGAAAAAGAAAAAAGGAAAGAGAAATGAGAGGGGAAAAAAAGAAAGCAAGAAATAAAATCCACAACCAATTTCTTTTTGAAACTTGGTAATTGGGTATTTTTGTACGCAGATCACGCCATTTGGCCAGAACTCTAGGCTTAGCCACATCAGTGTTTCTAATTTGCCTCACATTACTTCTCTTCTGGCTTATTTATTTAATTTCAATCCCTCGGACTCCCCCCACTCCTTTTCCATCTCACCTCCCCTTTTTTCCAGGAATTCTCTGAAATGCAGCAAATCTATCTGCGGTTTAATGTCATTGTGCAAAGGCTAGAAAAGAGAAAGTGTGTGTTTGGTATGGGGAGGGGGGGAACCACACCCCAAACAAGAAAGCTTGTTTTTACCATGGGTTCCCCTCTCCTCCCCTTAGCCTTTCTCTCTAAATTTCATAGATCGATTCATTGGAGACACAATGAGAAGTTAGACGAACAGCAGCGGGATGAAAAGTGTGGGATGGAGCGCCCTCTTTTCCAAGCTTATTCTTTTGGTGGAATTATTTAACGTGCAGTGATTTCACTCAAGGACAATGAAGCTATTAATCATCCCCTATTCTCTTGGGGTGTGTGTGTGTGTGTGTGTGTGTGTGTGTGTGTGTGTGTGTGTGTGTGTGCATCTGCAGAATGGACTAGCAAGAACACAACTGTTACCTATATATCTTTTGCCCTTACATTCATCACAGAGACAACATACTGGCCAAGGCTGCACATTACACTTATCTTTGTCATCTTTGCCACCAAATGTTTTGTACCATCTCTACCCTCTAACTTATCCACCCCAGCCCCTTCCCTTCCATTCACTTTGCTCCAGCCCACTGGCATGGGGATGTCCTGTCCAAAAACTCTGAGAGGCATAGGATGATTTTCTTTAAAAAACAAACAAAAAAAACAAAACAAAAAGTTTTATTACGAAACTAGTTTGTATAAAACAGGGTTATACATGAACTTTGTAAGTCTGTAATAAAACAGTAAGAAAAATAGGCAGTGGTTTTAAGTTCTCCCAAAACAAGGCAGCAATAGGAAAACCAATGGCTACCATTTTTTTTTTTTGCGTTTGGACAATAGCTGCATAAACTTCGTCCCCTCCTCCAACAGGGTTCAACATTATTAATACATTAACAAAGTTTCTATAAAGTAAGACACATTGGTGCTAAAGTACGTCCGGCAGCCTCTCCGCCCCACCTGTAAGGAGGGTCCTTTACACAACCATATACAAACGATGGCAGTTGTGGTGGTTGACTATTTATCTAAAACAGGCAGAGGTAATAAGCATCACATATTAAGTATCAAGATATACACATTTTAAAACATTTGTACAAAACTTCTATAAATCTCTTTTCTTTCTCTCTTTCTCTCTTATATACAAAAATATCTTAATATATCCCCAAACTGGTTAGGATAGATACAAATAGATTTTCTCATAATAAAAAAATTCACAAAAGATTGGAAGCATTTTAAGATGAATACGGTAGAAAAGATGTCAAGGAAGGGGGGGGTCGTCTGAGTCAGGAGGGGGAAGGGAGGACAAGGAGAGAGTGATTTCAAAGGACTCTTTGAATACAGAAAAGTTTCATTGCAGACAAACTGATGGGGGAAGCAAATGTAGGTCCATAACGAGTGAAGGAGAAAAGGACCGCCACCCATTCCTGAAGGATTAAGACGTGAACTTTGGGTGAAGGGCTTGGAGTTCGGGGTCTCGGAAGGGGGTGTAGTTGGGGGGGTACTTTAGGCTCTAGGCTTGTATGTTAGCGTTCATATATATAGGATAAACATGTGCTACCCCCCTTCTGACTCCATTGCCACTGAGCCGCTCGTAGGCTTCTCTGCACCCCCCCCCCCCCCCCCCCCGCTCCAGCACAACACAGGCCCTTAAGTCAATGTTCATCTTCCTCTTCAGGAACCATGGTGCAAAGATGCTAGCTGTACTTCAGGGCCGCACTGGGGGCTGGAGATATGCAACTGCAGATCTGGCGTTGTTTTTTGTTTGTTTGTGTGGTGTTTGGGAGAGGGGGAGTTGATTTCGTCTTCTTCCTCCCAGAGTCGCTGGCGGAGAAAATAAAAAGCTAAAGAGGCAGGTTCTCTCCGGTCACCCTGTAACATGACAACAACGGAAGAGGTCAGTGTGGAGACTCGGCTGGTGATAGCTAGTAGGGGGGCCAGGCAGTGGGGGAGGCAGGGGGAAGAGAGGCAGATGGATGCACCGAGGGCCTGGACAGCTTCTGCTGTTCTTCAAACACTCCCTGGTCTTTTCCTTCACTACGCGGCCCAGCTAAGCACAACCAGGCAGGCAGCAAGCCACCCTTTCCAGCCCACGCCCTCCTCACTCCTCCCCCTTTGCTTCGGCACCGGGTCCCACCACCCCTCATCCTCAAACACAAATGGTTGAGAAGAGCTCCAGCACATCTAGTTAGGACTTCTCTGGATAAACACACATACACACACACACACACACACACACACACACACACACACACACACACACACACGCGCGCGCGCAACAGCAAAGCCAAACAGATGACGAGAGGGGAAGCGATGGAGACGAAAGTAACCCCCCCAACACACACATGCACACGCGCACCTTACTGGTGATCCCCTCACCTTTGCACACTGACACACAGAAGTGATGGGAGGGGGAGGGTTGCAGATGCCACCCGCTCCTCTCTGCCTCAAACAGACCCAGAAACGCAAAAAAAACCTTATTGGAGGTCGCCCCCGCTAACCCCCCCCCGCCTCCGTGCAAACATACATGCCGACGTGGTGGATGTCGCGGCAATGGAAATGAGAAGCCACCGTCTCCCCCTCCCCAGCACACACACACACACACACACACACACACACACACACACACACACACACACAACTTGCCTGCTCCTAAAGTTTGCTATCCGTCGGGCCTGGGCTGTAGAAGGCGCTCAGAACCAGTTTGTAAAGTCCAGAAGTTCTTGCTCCTCTGGACTGAGTGGGTCGTAGGAACCCTCGTCGGACGAGTAGGACGAGACCGGAGAGCCGGCCATTGAGTTCAGGTCGTTGGAGTAGTTGGGGGAGATGGTGGGCGACAGCACGCCCGCCTGGAAGGCGGCGCTCACCGCGTCGTGCTCGTCCAGCAGCTGCTGCAGGGCGCGGATGTACTCGACGGCCGAGCGCAGCGTCTCCACCTTGCTCATCTTCTTGTTGGCCGCGCCGTTGGGGACGTGCTCCCGCAGCGTGGCGAAGCCCAGGTTGACCAGCTTGACGCGGTTGCGCTCGCGCTCGTTGCGCCGGGCCACGGCCGCGGGCTGCTGCTGGGGCAGGCTGTAGCCGAAGCCGCTGAAGTTGAGGCGCCGCTTGCAACGCATCAGCTCGGGCGACGAGGAGCGCGGCCGTTTCACTTGCTTTGGCGCTGACTTGTGACCGCCCCCCGAGGCTTGGCCGTCGGCCGGACTCAGCTGCGGCTGCGGAGGCGGCGGCGGCGGCGGCTGCTGCTGCGCGCTCTGGGCGGCCGCCGCTGCCGCTGCTGCCGCCGCCGCAGCCGCCGCCGCGAAGAAGCAGGCGGCGGGCTGCAAGAACGGCTGGGGCGGCTGCGGCTGAGCTGGCTGCGGCTGGGGCTGTTGCGGCGGCGGCGGCGGCGGAGGAGGAGGCTGCTGGCTGACCCCGGTGCTTTCCATTTTGGAGGGGCTCTCCATGGGCCGCCAGGAGATGTGGAAGCCGGGAGGCGGAGGGATGGAGAGGAGGGATTGCGCGGGGAGGAAGGGGCACAGGGAAAGCCGAGACGTTGGGGGCAAAGGAAGAGAGGAAAGGGACAGAAAAGAAGGTGTCCGGAGTGAAGAAAAAAAAAGAAAGAAAAAGAAAAAAAAGGGAGACTCCTGAGGGTGGGGGAATGGAAGGTGGCAATGTCTTTCCTCCGCCTCCCACCGCTCCTCCTCCTTCTCCCTCCCCTCCTCCCTTTGCGGGTTGGCTTCGGGAGCCTCGCGTGGCGCTCGCGTGTGAGGCTGCCGCTAGCTGCTCCTTCTTGGAAAAAAAAAAAAAGGCAAGCGAGTGAGGAGCCTGCCTGCTCTCTCTCCTTGCTTCTCCTTCTCTGTCCTCCTCTCCCCCCTCTCTCTCCCCCGAGAGCTTCACTCTCTTGCTAGGTTTCCTTCTCTGCTTCCTGCAGCCGTGCTCTGGTCCCCTTTTTTTATTTCTCTCTCTCTCTTTTTTTTTTTCTTCGCTCTCCCTACCCTGGCGCCTTCCACGTTCCCTGGCTTGAAGTGAGTGCTTACGGTCCGGAGTGCGGCCGCCTTTTCAATGGGACACACAGCCCCACGCGCTCTCTCTGGCCCCGCCTCGCCCCCCACTCCCGCTGCTTGCAACAGCGGCGGCAGCAGCTCCGGCCCCCACTCCACCCCCTCCTCCCTTCCTCCTCCCACCCACTCCCCAAACTCCTTCCCCTCCCCCCTTCCTGGCCCCCCTCCCCGCCCCGGCCCTCGCGCCGCCCGATCCCTTGCAAACTCTCCATTCACCAGGTTTGTTGTTGCAATGCGTGCGCCTGGCGCGTGCCGCGCAGAGCGCTGAATAAACAGCTGGGGGAGCTGGGGCTGGGCAGGAGTCGGGGGTGGCTGCTTGCAAGGTTGGGGGGGGGGACCTGGAAAGAGGAGGAGCAGGGCTACTAAGGGAGTTGTAGAACTGGGGACCCTGCATTTGGGAAAGGATTATTTTGGGAGATTTACAGGAAAGACATTACAGGCACCATCCTGATGAAGCAAAGAAGCGAAGTTAGGGAAGATGTTTCGGGGCGTGGGGGGGGGTGTGGAGGCAGAGGAGTTTAGTGCACTCGCCCACAGCCACTTCCCTCCTTTTCGCCTGGTTGGTGTTTTCTGCAGTGATTTCGGCGCTGTATGAAACAGGAGTGGGTGTGTATAGTTGGGGTGGGTTTAGGTGAATTGCTCAATAGTCCGGGCTGAAAGAGAAGTGTGCCTGGAAAAGGGATTTTGGGGTGCATGGAAAAAGTGGGGCAGGTGTCACCTAGCTCCACGTGCTCGGCTAGGGGTGCGGTGCGTCAAGCGTTTTGGGGAAGAGGTGTAGGAGAGGTCTCTTCAGAGATTGTCCTAGCGTCCCGACACGAGAACCCCAGAGCCTTCTGGTGGGCCAGAATGGGATGAGGAGAGGATAGGAAGAAAGAAAGATTCGTGAGTCGTGAAGAAGGATCCCGAGGTCTATATCCTGCGGCCGGGAAGGTCTTTCTCCCTCTCGAAAAGGGATGGGGATTTCCTGGAAACCTAGAAGCGCTAGGAAAGGATCTCATCCCAGACTTGGCGCAGCAGGCAGGAAATTCAGCAGAGAACGTGCCCGGAATCCCCAGCGTACGCCCGTTCTTTTGAGATATATGACAGGAGACTGGAAGCAGTCTACTCTTTACTAAGTGATTCCAGCAATCAACAGTTTCGAAGGCGCTCCCCTCGAATCCCCTTGAGTTTCCTTTCTTCCTCCTTACACCAGAGTCTTCCTGCTCGTGCATATCGCGCAGCTGCAGGGATGGGAGACGAGGACCCTGAACCGAGGCTGGGACACCTTCCCCCAGTAGGTTAACTGCTCCCAAGAGAAATCTGGGAGACTGAGGTATTTTCTTTTGGGAAGGAGGGCGTTTAGGAGGGGTGATACGGGACGAAGTTGGAGAAAGCCAAATGGCAACCACTTTGTGGCCCTGTCTATTCAGATTGATTCCGCCAGAACGGCCAGTCTGTATTCGCGGGGAAGGAGCGCGAGGAATTATCCGAATAATTGCCCCAACCATATTTGCCCAGGGTACACGGCTTCTTCCCGTTTGAGCTGCTAAGCTGGGCACAGCAAGTTTTCCCAAAGGCAGAAATTTTCTCTGGGCAGCAGGGCATGTGAGGTAGGGAAAGAATTAACTCCAGGTTGTGGAGAAGGTGGAAGGGCTGTCTTTAAATGGTCTTTATGCTTGCTAGTGAGATTAAGGTCTGTAAATGGCGCCCTTCCATCCTGGACACGCTAGTTAAAATAATACCATACCCCCTCTCCCCTACCACCCTCCATTTAGTTCCCAGAGGCCCAGAATGAAGTACACTTTTTTAAAAAAAAATTTAGGACCCATCTGACCACAGTGCCCTTATCCTACCCAGTGGTGTATTGAAAAGAGGATTGGTTACGGAATCAGAAGACCTGAATTCGAATCCTACCACCAGCACCTTATTTACTGCTTTTATAACCTTGGACAAATCACTTCATCTTTATGGTCCTGTTTTCTCATCTATAATAAAAGGAGGCCCAACTAGGTGACCAGTGAAGTCCCTTGCCGCTATACAATTCTTGGCCCTTGCCCTGACCAGAAGCAAACGTGCTGCAATCGCCAAGGACAGGCAATAGTAGTTCTTGGAGCGCGATCAGCCCGCTAATTCTATGAGATCATTAAACAAATATTAGTTAATATTAGATCATTAAACAAATATCAGTTAAAGATCATACCACATCCCATTCACTTAAGATAAAAGTTTTTTCTCCCTTTTTAATACCAGGTTTTAAAAAAATCCAGAAAGAAAAACTAGCTGGTGGGCTCTATGGCTTGACTTTCTTCAGGTCCCAGCAAAAATTTCGTCTTCAAGAAGCTTTTAATGCCAGTGCCTTCCCTCAAAGGTTATGTCTAATTTGGCTTCTCTATATGTATTCTTATATTATCTCTCCCATTAAACTGCGTGCTCCTTGAGGGCAGGGCAGGGACTGTTTGTGCTCCCCTTCTTCATATCCTCAGGGCTGAAAGACACATTGCCTGGAATTTAGCAGGTGCTTAATAAATGCTAGTCGTCTTACCTTGTTGACAACAGATGCAAAATGAGGAGTACTTTGAGATGGACACTGGCCCTAGAAATGACTGATAATGGAAGGAACTTGATAAGGTGAAAGGGAGGTTGAGATCTCTTGGTACCCGAAATAACTTTCAGATGATGATGATGATGATGACGATACATTGTCTCGGAGCTATTACTCACGTAGTCCAGGATCACACAGCCGCGGGTGCCGGAGGCAGGCCTCGAACCTAACTGAAGTTTTTGTGACTTGGAGGTAGACCAGCTAGCTCTCTGTACCAAAAGGCGGCTACCACTCAAAAACCCTTTCTCCGTCGCCCCCAGCAATTCTCTACCTCTTTAAGTTGTTCAGTAGTTGCCAATCTACTTTGGTGGAGGGGGTTTCCTCTGCGGGAGTTCCCTAAACTGACAAAATCACGGTCTGCCCCAAGTTAAGAGCGGTGATGCACCTTCCTTTCCCTCTGGTGGGGAGAGTCAGGCCTCAGGAAACCGGCCAAGCCTACTTGGCACCGAGCATCAGGCCCTGTTCGACTATTCTTCAAAGTCCAATAAAGGAAGTCCGAGCCCATTCTAGTAAAGCCTAGTTATTACTTAACAGCACAGAACACTTCCTTCCCTCCTGCACCATCTGAGGCACGAACACATTTCACAAACATGCACATACAAAATTTACACTGGGAGCCTCCACGGATGGATCTACACAGTCAAGCAGATCCCTAGAAGGACCTAGACTTAAAAGAGGCTATTTTCTGTTTTATTCCAAGAATCTCTGCCCCCCCCCCCGGCTTTTTAAAACTCGGAGAGAGTCTGGGGCGGATGCAGGCAGTTCTGTCTCAGCTTGCCTTCTGGACCTTTGAAAGAGTCAGACAGGTGAGGAATCCTCCTCACCAGGAAAGCTCACCGTGCTTTTCCGAGGCAGCCAGGAGTTACACAGATAGGCACCTGGCCTCCGGCTAATTCAAAAAGTTAAATCCACCGCTTGTATTCCAAAGGCCTCTTTTCCTGGGAAGGTTCTAGGTGCCAGGTTGTCACTGTTTTCCAGGGATTTCGAAACTAGAGTCCGTAGACTTAGCAGTGATGGCTATTAACCGAAATAAATACACCGACCTTGCAGAGGCGTTGGGGGAACTCCCTGGCCCCTTCGGGAACATCCTTTCTTCCTTAATGCTTATATAATGTATAATGTATTACATATGTGTCCATATGCACACATCTCTTTAAGGTTTGCAAAACACTTCCCATATGGAGTTTTCTTTGAGGTTTACAACGTTGTAAGTCAGGAAGAGCCGGGTAAGAATTTCATCTCAGAAGACCCTGGACAAAAATTATGATTTCTCAGAGCCTCAGTTGCCTCATCTGTAAAAATAAGGATAACCCTAGTACTTACCTCATTCACTGAGGGGATAAAAATGGGAAAATATGGGTAAAGAGATAGGCACCAGGCCTGTGATTTTTGATACAGGAACCTCTTGGGTGGAGAAACTCCAAGCAATGCAACTTTGTGACTTGCAGTAATTTTAGAGTTGGGGCATTGAGAGGTAGTGTGGCCTCAGAAGAACTAGCCATAGAAGGAAAAAGAAGAAAACAAAACAAATAAACTAGGGTTCAACTCCCATAGCAGCCACTGCGGAGTGCTTGATCACAACCCCGTTTTCTTATCTGGACACTGAGTTACAATGAAAATAGCTAACATTTCCGAAGCGTTTACTACATGCCAGGCATTTTCCTAAGTGCTCGGCAATTATCATCTCATTTGGTCTTTGCAACAACCTTGGGAAGTAGGTACTATTATTACCCCCATTTTACAGATGAAACTGAGGCAAACAGGTTAAGTGACTTGCCCTGAATCCACCACAGCTAGTACTTGTCTGAGGTCAGGTTTGAACTAAGGCCTTCCTGACTCCATTACTCAAGATCATACAGACTGTAGGTCAAGGGTGGGTCTTGAATTGAAATCTCTGGGACTCCAGGATTGACTCTCTTGTCCACTATGTCTCAGCACTGACAGGATTAGTCAATAGTTTTAGAGTTACTCATTCTAACCTGTTTACGCTTTTGCAGTCTATGGGCACCCATATTTTCATCAAAATAATTCTGTTCTTTCTAATTCCACTTCTCCTAATCAGTCAGATGGAAACTGGAGCTCTGGGGTTAGACTGAAGACCTCTGAAGATCATTTCAGATCTTCTGAATACCTTTTAGTATGCATGGCAAAAGGTGTATGTTCTGAAAGAGCCAGCTCTGGGCAAAATGTGGTAAACCTGACCTTGTATCTGACTCCCTGTCATCTTTGTAGCTACCTTGACACCCACTTTAAAATATTCAGAGTCCATTGGGCATTCCCCTGTCTGTCATCTTCTGGTAGCCAGTCCTGGTTTACAAATATTATCTCATTTGATCCTCACTATAACCCTGGGAAGAAGGTGTTATTACT